CTAGTGGATTTGAAGATTTATTCCTTTATTTAAAGTACACTTCCAACAAGTAACGCTCAATTGCAAGATCTATAAATACTATATAACAAAAAAAAGAGAAAAAAGAAAATAAATATGAAGAGGAAAATGATAATATACAAACATAAAAATACAAAGGATAAGAATGAACAGAAAACACAATAAAAATAAATTATACACAATTGAGGGTTAGGTTGAATGGAACAATAAAAAAAATATAGGTATTATTTTTTCTCTCAACTGATAATGAAGTATAGTCTTTCCGAAGTCAGTTGAACATGTAAAAAATTGCCTGGCAATAAAATTTAATGAGTTTCATAGGCGTCCCTAAAAATGTTTTCTGATAACGATAAAAAATTATAATAATTTGTATATAATGTGCCGAAAATTTCTATTATATGTTCATTTGGCCAACTGATGGTAAATTTCGTTTTGTCCCGTTTCAAAAGGTCTCCGAAATGCCATTGTTGTAATAATATTAATGATTAATAGAAGGTGCTTATAATAAATTAAAATTAAATGAACACACCAAATTTCACATTGCTGCACTGCACTGCTGGGTAATTTGTCGACCACTTGTCAGCGGCTGAGATTTATTACTCGGTGGACCAATGCTACTGTATTTGCATTTCGTTTGCCCGCGCTCGCATTCTTCAACTGGGTGTATGTATACATTTTTACCACCACTACTTTAGTTCGACCAGACCTGTTAATGGGTATGGCTAAATAAATATGGGAACAAGTTATTCAAATGTTTCAATGCCGAGTTGCTGCATAAGCGAACGAACCTGGTACATACTGTCATTCTTTTGGTTCTTCAATTGATATTGAAAAGACTTTAAACGACGGATGTAAGCACGTGCTTTGAGAAAATTGAAAATCGTATTGCATCTTGCTGAATGTCACGAATGTCGCGATATTTTGATTTGAATGTTATTTAAGACATCTGGACAGTCTAAGAACTTGAAGAACTTTATCCAAAAATAAACTGGAGAAACATGTCAAACTATCAGATGCCATCTAGAAAGTAAAAGGTTGATTTCATAAACCCTCTGTATTCTTTTCATAGCTCCAATTTAGTTAGCACCAACGGTTAGGATCAGTTCACGTTTACATTTAAGTAACTGGGCACCCTATATTATTAACAGTTCTTGAGTAATTGGTTAAAAATTCTGTGTTACATTCTATCTTTGAAGGATGGTAGACCTTAGGAACAAAAGTTGCTTTTGTTCATTTTGACCCCTTAAAGACTTTACAACAACGTTGTTACACTCTGGTTATTGATCGCAGAAATACTATATGATTTTATTCCAACTGTTCTATATGTTCATTGGTTAACAAATTGTTGACAAATTTAAATCATTAATGCGTAAGCATTGTGGGAAGAGATAACTATCAAAGAGCGCTTCATCTGGCAAGTGCCTAGTTTTCTTGGTAGGAATCCCAAAATCGGCAATTGTACGGCAAATAAACAATGTGGAATGGGAGTAGGCCAGGGAATCAGTTCAGCAACTTCACTTTCAATTAACGGTGTCGGAATCAGCAATCATCACAATATTTCAAAGCGAAACATGACGCACCAAAAGTACCGCTAGGGCTATCTGAGCGAGTACCCAGCACGCGGGAGTCGGAGTTCCTTCGTCTGCCCGCGGAAGTATGTTACCAGTGCCAGCGTGCCCCCACCGCCACGCCATCCAAATAAATAACGGGTAACGGTACTCTTTATTCACTTCCACTGATCTCGGCCTCGTCATCCTTGGCAGCGGCGTGCCGATGGCTTTTGAAGTATACAAAGAGCTCAACGCAAATCAACAGTTTGTTAATGAAAGGAGATACTGTAATTTGTCAGGTTCTTATACAGGGTGTATCATATTTAAATACAGAAAATTTTAGAATAGATAAGGTAGTGAAAAATATTAACTAGAAGTTTAAAAAAATATATTTTAAAAAGCGTATTATCGCCATTTAAAAAAATTTAAAATTAAAACGAAATCCGTATCCCATATCTACTTGTAGGTCATTTTTAACAGTTATTCGATGGAATTTCTTAAAATAAAGCTACTTCTAGAATTACAAAGCAATCGATCAAGTCGTTTTGAAGTTATACAAAAAAGAAAATATTTTACTACCTCTTTCTCAAAAACCATGTTCCTCACGCAAAGAAGTTGTATTCCGAAAATTTATTATATTTTACTGATCTATCCTGATATTTTTCATATTTAAAAGTGATACAATCCCAATATTCTATATATGTTCACGAAACAACCGCAGATAGTAAGGGTTACAATAAGATGATTTAGATAAACTATCCAAAATTGCTGTGTTTAGCTGTTGAGAGCGTCAAAGTTGGCAAAAAAGTGACTTAAATTTAAAAAATAAAACAAATGTGCCACAGATAATGCGTAATTAAACTATTTATTTTAATCTAGGATCTTACCTTACAGATATGATCATTTTTAAGGAAATACTGTGATCAATAATCACTTAAACATCAGAAAATTTGTTCATATGATTGTTAATTGTCTTTTTCTGAGACCTAAACAATTCTTTTTAGAAGAGTAAGAAAATTATTACATAGTTATCTATATTATTATTACTTTTAAACTCATGTGAATTTCACCGATATTATACATAACAATTTTTAAATACATATATGGCTTATAAAGTTGTTGAAAATGGGTAGAAATTATATAAACTAGTAGACTTGTTGCTTAGTTGATTATTTTCCCCCATTCATTATAGTTTCTTATTTTCCTCTTCCAACTATTTTAAAACTATTTCGATATTTCCATTTAGTTTATTTACTTTTTTCTGTTCCTATATCTGAAGGCTACAGTATTTTTATAAAGCTACATACTCTCATCATTTCATAGCTACGTCTAATTGTTTTCCATAAGGGTGCTAGGGTTTCTATTTTATCGTTTTCATCAAGTATCTACTTTTTCGGTTACAATAATAATATATCGAATAATTTGGAAATGGACAAATAAAGATTGAGGTATATTTACAGGCAATAAAAAATTGAAAATAAAAATAAATAAGGCGACATAACCACGGAAGACACATAGCTGCTAAGAATGGTCAATCTATTGAAAACCTAAAGAAAAAGGTGTATCGGTTGTCTAAGCAAAAGATCGAATATTAAATAATATAAGTTTTTTTTTTGGATATATACATTGTTACAGTTAGTTTGTTGGTTTTGAATAAAATTATTAAAAAATAAATGCATCATGGGGCCCAAAAATTTTATACAGGGTGTAAGAAGTATGACTGCCATAGCTTCAGCATGAGATAGAGTAATCATAAATGAACAAAAAAGTTGCATATTACAGAGGCGTAAGATTAACAGTTTTCAAAATACAGCGAGTATTAATATTGGAGAGTTTCATCACAATTTAACAACAGCGCTACACAACTGATGCACACCACGTGTGCATACGGCAAACTTGTCCTACGGAAAAAATGTAAACAACTATTATTGTGAAACATTTAGTAAATTTCAGGACAACTTTTTTCCAGTTTTTAAATAAATAAAATATATTTGTAGTACGAAGATAGTGTTGTGCTTAAATTTTAGCTCGAGTTTTAGTAATTATGAATCTCTTAAAACAGGAAGTTAACTTTTAATCAAATTATGAATTTCAAAAATATGTAATTAAAGTACCCAAAGATTCACGTCGTCCAAATAATCACACGTATTAAAAATAATTTAGATACTTACCAAAAAGCAAAATGCAGTAATTTTTAAACGTTCAAGTACAAAACAAACTACAACATATGTTCAAAATGTCCACCACCATTTTCGATGGACACACGACACCTTCGATTTCAATTTTCGCGCACTCGCTGGAAAACACCTCAAGAAAAGGAAATAGTGGTACACAAAAAACACTCCAACACGGTCCAATTCCAGAAACCAACCGACAGCTTAGTACCTCGCCGCGCCGTTGTCACATTGCTGGATATGAATTTTATCGAATTTGAAATTTATTACAACGCTAATTATTTTTTAGAATTAAGCATAAAGAAGTTTATAAAAGAGATAAACATTATATTGTATGGTATTCTATGCTCGCAGTTATGTCAATATTCCTTAATTAAACGAACTTTTGTAGATCAAGTTGGAGATTTTGAAATTTTTTTTCTCGGAAGTGGTTGAGTTTAGGACCCATGTCATATAAGGTTTTGTTTATTTTAATGTATTCTATCGTCTGTTAAAATTAAAGCAGTCAAACTTCTAACACCTTGTATAATTATCATCAGAAAGAGCAATCTTTGACTTATTGAAAAACATTGACATATATAAAATTTCAATACCCAAACAATGTTAGGGATACACAGCAGTGTGTGGGTATATCTTTTCGAAAATTAGCGCGATTTAATTAATAATAGGAACATATACTCGTTATCCATTCATTTTAGGTATATCGTAGGTATGTTTTTTACCTTCGCAATGAAAGTCGGCCGGTTTTAATGTCTCTATATATAGAAAAATATAATTCTTGCAATCTATGTCCAAGGGAAAACTTTTCCCCGGACCACCTGGTACAAGTATGCAGAAAAAGAGCAAGGTATTGATTTATGGGTGTACAATATGCATCACAACTGTATGACTGACCCATAAACTTAAGAAAGGAGAAGGTAATAATCAATTTTTAGTATAGCGTAGGCATTTTATATCGAAAAATAAATAAAATTTCTCCTTTTAATAGCTAATGCTTATAACTAATTAACTCTGAAAATATGACAGTAAATTATCTTTATACAGTTTTATTATCTGCACATTTGCTGCATTATCTTTGGACCTCTCACAATTCAACGTGAAATTAATATTTGTAGCTCGCATTAGTTTAGCTAAAAAGATTAGTGAAAGCATCGTTTTATATATCTGGCGTCATTCTAATAGCTTTTTTTGTTTCAGATAGGAGCGTCATGCAGAGGTGACAGTCGGTACGTAAAAGTGTCAGACTCAATATCCGGTAATGAAAACGATGAAATATCCCAGCATACCCCAAAGTACCAATATGGCAGTCAACAATGGTTCCCACGTAGACGAGGTCGACTCACTTTTTACTTCTTCGTGTTGGCAAAATTCGAATTCCAACATCCAAAACGAATTCATAGACACCCACAAACTGATACTGGATAGTTCAATGAGCAATTTGGGAACAGATAAACTCCTATTAGACTCATCCCTAAACCAAGGTGACAGTGAAATCGAAACGAAAGTGGCGATGGACACTATAGAAAATTTACTAGGTCCACAATCGTTGAATAGTTTGGCAGAACTCAAACCTCTGCCTCCGTTCACTGGGTATACCGCCAATTTAAGCATAAACGGTATACAGGGTCATCATTATCACACGATATCCCAAAGAATTCCCGAGGAAAACAATAACACTTACAACAATTTCAATGAACAGAACATAGTGTCAAGTTCAACTTGTAATGTTAGTGCGGACTCCGCAGGTGAGGAAAGTAGTAAAACTTTCTTTTCGGGCGAAGGTTATTCGGACTGTGTGAATCCAGACTCAGTGTCCTCCATAAAATACGAGGGTTGCAGCCACCCGTCGGTGGACTCCGCAACTCACGTCAAAACTGAAATAGCAGAATACGACATATCCTCCATAGAAGACATCGCGGCAATAATAGGCTCTGCCATAGCAGACACCACAGTTCCTAACAATAACACAGAAGGCGAGGATCCCACGGGTTCCAGAGACAGTTGGATGGACTTGGATGCGTGGATCGACGGCGCTTGTGTGGACCAGCAGAAAAGTATAATAATCACTCAAGACGGTTTGTCGGAGTTCGTCATACCTTGCAGTAGTGAGTTTACGAAGACGCCTCAAGCCGTTGAGTTCGCGTCCAAAGTTCAACAACAACAAAGCGGGTCGACTCTACAAACTCTCCTAACTCACGGTTATATGCCTCTGCTGCAGAACAGACTGCAAAACGGGCCTCCGATAAAGCAAGAAGCGCCTAGTTCCACAAATTACGGAGCAGAACTGATTTCGACCTCCAGTCCTCCTGCTAATGTAGTGTCCACAACGGATAACTTACTGCTAACAGTAAACGGTAGGTTTTTACCGCAGTATAGTGTTGGTCTAAGCGACGAACATCGAATAAGAAGTCCGGACATGCTGGGGCAAAATTATCCCCATACTACCACAACTACGCCGAATGCCCCAAAAAAGCCCAGGAATCGAGCTCAGAAGAAGCAACAGCAAGCTACTAGTTCGACGGTGTTCCAGTCGGATCAAGCGCTGGGGCTACTGGGGAAAGAAAAACCTGTACATAGGTGTAGTATTTGTAATAGAGGTTTTTTGAATAAAAGTAATATTAAAGTTCACCTAAGAACGCACACGGGAGAGAAACCGTTCAGATGTGACACCTGCGCAAAAGCGTTTAGACAAAAGGCACATTTGTTAAAGCACCAACAAATACATAAACGAATCGGACGTGACTGATTCGCGCTAATGTGCTTGGTTTGCGAAATCTGGACCCTGGTCGGTATTGTATTTTCTTTCAAAACTAAACTCCGTGACTCGAGTTTAATTTGTTATTTTGTAAATTGATAAAGTTCGTACTATTTATTCGCTAAGCAAATACAATACTGTATTACGTGCAGACAAAAATAGTTACTCACATAATAAACTATTTTTGTCGTTGATTTCGCAAACCATTCAAGAGTCCAAAAAGAAATAAATCCATTTTCAGAATTTCTTAACTGAAACTTCGTTGTTCCTCTCATATTTTTTTTATTGTTTTCTGATTGATTAAGTTTTCAAAAATAAGGTAACATAATCATTATTTTGATAAATATTTCCGTTTCTTCTATCAAAAATCTTTTAACAGCATTTAAAATAATAACTTTAAGACAGTAACTCATTAATTATTGTAGACGATTGGCTAGTATTATACAAAAAATACATAAAGCAAAGTGAATATTAGTTCAGAGTATGGCAGTATTCGAATATCTTGTATTCACGAATAAAAAAAATGAATATAAATATTCATTCAAAATATTCATGAACAAATAAACACTATTACATAAGTCTTGGCAATCATGATTAATTGAATACAAATATTCAACAATTTCGGTACAAATTTTAGGAATAATTTACCGAAATTATTAAATTTATAGAAAAACTAATTAATTGGAGGTTTTTCAGTTGCATGTTTCGACAAGATAAGCAACATTTTAAGTATGTGGGTGGTTCCAAATGTTACCTTTTGTAAATTTAAATTTGCTTTGAATTCAAATAATTTTAACAATAATAAAACATTAATTAAGCTATTTTCTCTCTCATGGGCTTATGCATACATCCACAGACTTACTACTATCCAAAGTGTGTCTCGACGACGTTTGACTAAAGGAATGCAAATTGAAATACGAAAATTTATATTCAAGAGTTTCTCTATATAACTCTTCAATGAAAATATAGAGTAAATGTTCCATTCAATATAATGAAGTTTGCAACTACTTCTCATATAACTGTAAGCAACTGAGAGTTTTGGAAATATTTTGAAAATTGAATTTGTTGTATTCACAGTTTCATATAATGTTTGGGAAAACACTGTATTCATGAATATAATACTGAATATTATATAATAGTATTCGTACCCACTCAACATGAATATTCAGCATTCATAAACTTTTATGAATACTACATGCTGCAATCGTTATTCAGATTTTCAAGAGATTACTCAATAATGTATTTAATAACTAGTATTCGATTACTTTTTGCCCAGCTCAGTTTTAGTTACTTGTTATCGGAAAATTATAAAGAATTGTCATTTGAAATTATTGAAATCGGAATTGTTACTTATATATTACTTATACCTATCTATATATTCAAAATTGTACCGCAAATCAAAGAAATTTTATTTAATACTTTTTTTACAAAATTTGCACGAAAATGTTTTGAGGGTTGCAGAATAACATCGTTGTTAACTAAAAATTGTAACATGCTTTGGATTTGTAATTTTGAAGAAATCAAAGCTTACAATCTAAATATGTACATAGAGTCTATTCATATAAATCATTAGACTTCATTTGTGTTTTGCATTTTATGTATATTAATAGTCTGTACACTTATAAATCGGATCACGCTGTACGTATTTAAATGCAGACAAAAACCGTGTTCTTGTTTGGAATCGAATTTTCTGTAAATTGGACTTATAATGTAGCATCACATTATTTCTTTTTGGACTGGTATTTCAAACGTGCTATAAAAAAAGGTACCTCAAGTATAAAAACTCATATATCTACTGCGGACAATGTGCAATTTCATCTTATAGTGAAGCCGGTGCAAATCAATGAACCTTTTCCTAGTAACTCTATATTTTTTTTGTATTGATTCAAAAGAAAATTCATTCTCATTTAGCTTAAAGTAACTTGTTTGGTTTTTGATAATTGATCTCATTTTTATGGAATATCATTACGTTCCCACCTCCATTTTGATAAGATTATATTTAGATTTAACCGAAAATTGATTACCTAATTCGTGTCTTGCCTTATAATAAATAACAAGAGAAAAATTATCAGAGATCCTACGGTTTTCTCTGGGGTAGCCTGTTTTAAACCTGTCTTTATGTTTTTGCGCATTGTTATAGTGTGTTGTACTGTACGTTATTTATTCTAGTTTCTTATTTATTCTATTGTTGTCTACGATTTGGAGGTTGTTCTGGATCTTTTCTTATTCGATGTCACCGTATGACTGGTATGAAAAATGTATGTAAAAATATTCATGATATTTCTCAGGTTTTTTATAACACAGTTTTTGTGATAAAAATACTTAATATTTAAGTAGAGTATTTGTATTTTAACAAAGTTATATATTTATTGTAAAATCGTTTATTGATTACTATGTACTGTTATTTGACAATATTTTTATTTGCTGGAGATGAATTAATGTCAGGTAAGATATTTTTAATAGGGAAAAAGGATATTTATGACATTTTTTGCTCAATGTAATATATCGAGAACACGAATGTCTTCTTCAAGAGTTTTTGAACATTTTAATTGTGTTCCAGATTTTATATATTTCAATTATTTTAACGGTTGCTAAGGAACCAGAACAAATGTTTACACTTTTGTAAGTCGAGAAAAAATATTTGGCTTACGATCACTTGTTAGGAATACTCTTTGCTTTTTCAAATGAGTTTTCTTAATTAATATAAGGTTATTATTTCAGTTTCAACTACGCAAAATGTTTCTTGATTTAACTTGGTCTTCTGCAGAAGATATTAAGTCATATGGCCAGTATTTATATTTGTTGTGTGCTCTAATCCATGTCGATTTGCTGCAGAGATTGATGTCACAGCCACTAGCCAAAATTTTATGTCTTTCGCAAGCATTCGTAGTTTGATTAAGTGCCCTGCTTTTTCCCTGTGACACATTCGTTTCTTAATTATGCTAACGTATCTTCCTGTTTGTCTAATGTATGTTTTGGAGAAGATTTTGACCAAGGCTGTAGAAAAGCAATATAAATCCATAAAAATCGGGATATTTTCAATCCAGATAATGTCTTAGAACATGAAATTAACAAACGATCATCCGTAAATGTCAAGGACTTGAATAACTCAAAACTATGAACCTGAACATCATAAACCAATGTATATAAGAAATATAAATACCGGCTAGAGGACTTAATCCCCAGTTTCTTCCCATTTCTTCTGAAGAGCGATATGTTGAAACGTCAAGAAATCTAAACTTATATCAGTTGATTATGTTCTAAATCTTAATTAGAGTGCGACGAGAAAAATAAACTTTTCTTTCAAACAATTCAAGAACTACTGGAAATGTTTACCTTGTACATTGAACAGTTCACATATAAAAATATTGTTGCAATAACTGTACAATCTTTGTTTAGGAAACTACAAAGGCAGAAAATGTATAGCAACGAATTCTGTGTAAATTTTGTATTATAAAATCCTATTTATTTAAACCCTTTACTAATAACTTCGTGTTATATGCTTCTGCCTAATAATTCGTCTTGGACAAATAGATCTCAGAAAAACAATCTTGTTGCTTTTGCACCAGTGCTGTGCGATCGAGAGCATCGCATTATGTTGACTAGGAAATGAACGCGGTTCAATGCTATGATGTCACGTGTCCTACAAACCGAGGTTTGAATGTCAAAGGTGATGCGATGTTTTCTCTTTGCATGACTATCTTTTATATCGATCGGCCGAATATAAATTGCGGCCGGTTAGGAACTTTTTTCAGTATTTTATCAACTGGATTAGTTTGTGATAATCATGTATAAAAGTGACTTATCTTATTTATAAACGAGTGTAAATTAGCACCGCGCTTGAACATATAAGTTTATTGGCTAGAACTAAGGAACAAAATATTTTAGATTCTTTTTAATAGTTGGAAATAATTATTGTTATTACTTTATTGTTGATTATGTTAATAAGTATGTTGTATAATAAACACCATTATTTTTAATTTTATATTTCGTTTATCATTTAAAGTAACATACAGTCCAGGATTAAAAATCAACCAGAAGAATTAATAGCTAGACATCGGAAACTTTTTGGCGACAATCAAATAAATAAACAATAGTAATCTATATCATGCTAGTAATAATAAGATGCAGGCTAAATCTGTGGTCAACCCGTGTGCCGCTCTATGCTCACATTACACAATGCTACTGACTGCTATAAAAATACTTGCCATACCAAGCAAAGTGTCACACACACGCACAAACGACAATGAAATGCACGTCCAACGTCCCTTAGCAAAAAACCTGGATTATTCACCGGCACTACGTACCGAATAACTTGATCGATGCGTAGCTTCAGATCAGAGGTAGACATCATGTATATGTTATTGTACAATGACGCGGATAGTGGGATTACTAAAATGTGAAGTAGCTGATGCTGCGCCACCATTAGTAAAAATAGCATCTATTAATAACTTCCGCCTGTAACCTCGGTAAATGTCATTTTCGTTTTTGTGATGGGTATTTTCCGATCGTTTTCCTTATAAGTAAGAAATTATTATTTTGTTAACTTTTGCTGGTTCTTATTATTATTTACTATACTTACCTACATATTTTATGGTAAGTTCCATGTCAAGTGCTTCGTGTAGAAAGATGGAAACTGCCCCTTTGTGTTTCATACTATTATGCAAATACTTACATGTATATTTTTATAATATAAAATGTGCAGTTATAAGAGGCAACGGTTGCGTCATTTTTTGTTTGAATAAAATTACATAAAAGAGAACCCAGCCTACATTCAACACTGTATCACATTGTAGCCGCCCTAACATTTCCGATTTTTAGTAATAGCATAATTCTCTATGAATTTGCTAGCGAACAAAAACTGATCAATATGAATATTATACAACAAAATATTTTTGAGACTGGAAAGTTTAATACCACCCTATTCGTAATATATGGAAATGAATAGTGAAATTTATTTATAAATTTTCTTCTCATTTAATATTTGTTCA